AAGTTAGTAAGAATAAGAACATAAGTTTTGCTTCTAATCCAAGTTCATCCTAAATTCTGTATAGACATTTCTCTTCCCCCACTTTCCCCACCCCACCAGTTAAGAATCCCTGGACTCCAGTGGGCAATGTCTGGAAATCTCTCTGCTGTCTCCAGGGCTCAATTCAGTTGCAATGTTTTACTGCATTTTAAATTTTAAAGAACAGAACTGCTTCCATATACACTATGCAAGTCAAAAGGACTGGGAATCATGCTTTGACTACCTGATCGTTTAGCTTTTCTGGGAAATCAGACTCTAGAACCCAAACGGAAAACAAAAGAAGCAAACAAACAAAAAGCAAAAGGGTTAGGGAGCTCTGTTGTTGGCAGGAGTTGTGCTGTGAACCCAAAGGCAGGTGGTTCCAGTTCCATTTAGATGCTATGTGAAAGAAAGATGGAAATCTCTTCCTGTGTATGTTCAGCCTCAGACAGCTCACTGGAGGGTCAGCTATGAGTTGGTTCTGATTCCATGGCAATGAGTTGAGAGATGGGGGTAGTGGATACATAATTTCTATGATCTGTTTTAAGGATTTATTCTTGCTCGCTTTAGGAAAACTACTCCCAAACAAAATTGCCCAGTGCCCACTTTAGACGCAAAAAATGACTTAGAGTCATAGAGTGACTTAAGGGTTTTAAAAACTAAAAAAAAAAAAAAAAAAAAGCAACTCTCTCATTACTGTCGAGTGGTGAAGAGGCTGTAAATCATACAAGAGGAGATTGTCCATCTTTCTCTGTTGGACTGGCTGGTGGATCTGAACCTCCAAAGAGGGTTTTAGCCTATGCGTTATCAGTGCAACTTCTTATAGCCTCTGTCAGAAGAACTCTCATTTCACTTTGAAAATTACTATTAAAATCTGCACAAAGAAAAGAATTTTAATATAATCACATTATATAGCTAAGGGTAACTAATAATTACAAATTGGGATTAACCAAGCTATTACAAATGCCATACACCAAGCTTTTACATAATGCCACAATGTGGACCTATGTCATGCCCATCTGACCCCTCAGACCTGAGTCATGCCCATCTGACCCCTTCTTACACATGGAGTGAGATAGGCTGGTGGTTAAGAAATCCAGGTTTAAATCCTCACCTGTCCGGTTCAATTACCACCCACAACACCTATTAGCACTACTTGTGTCCTTTTAAGCGTCAGCTTGCAAATCCTTAAATGGTAGTAGCAATAATAATATCTCTCACTTGGATCTGTTAAGAGGCTTAAATGAGGACAGACATAAAGCGTACTAAGCAGTCATCAAAATGTATTGTAAGACTAGTAAAAGCTCTCCTTGGCTATTAACTGAGAACATCTCTTTGGCCATTATTATATTACTTATTACTAATTTTTCTCTACAATAAAAGAAAAAAACCACATTGTCTTTTAGACTATCTGCAAAACACAGAGAAGATTAAAGAAGGCTGTGTAATCCATTTCCTCTTTAATCACCTCCTGTTAATTTCATATAAACAAAAGCACAAAATGAAAAAGACACACACACAGACTCACAGACACACAGACATTTAAACAAAACTTTTGTTTCAGACATAGGGCTCCATGAAAATACTTTTGTTACTGACTTGTTTTTGTTGTACCTTCTCCATTACTAAATGTTGTTTTAAACTTCTTGTCGTTGCTAAGTGCTGTCAAGTAGAGCACGACTCATAGCAACCCTATGAATAAAAGACTTGAGCCCTATTCTATAACTATGGTCATTTCTCTATGTTCATAGAGTTTCCAGAGGCATGTTGTTTAGGAAGTAGAAGCCAATCCTGCTTCCAAGCCCATCTCAATCTGGGAGCTCAATCAAACACTGTCTACCATGGGTAAACTTTTGGCATTTGACAACCAGTGACACAGTGTTCAGCATCACAGGAACTCCAAATTACTCTAGTACAGCAAACTGACAGTACAGCAAATTGACTGTACCACTTAGAACAATGTTCTTCCCAAACACAATTAACACCAGGCCCAGGGACTTTTAAATAGAAAGGCCCACCCACCAGGTCCTGGTGGACTCTAAATAAGAAGCTTCCAGCCCACAGCTCATTATTAGCTAATGTCAGCAAATCCAATCTGCTCACACATGATTATGAACAAAATAAAAAACAAACAGTCCACTCCTGAGCTTCAGCCCAAACCAAGAGAACCCACCTTCCAGACTCCAACTGCCTCACACATGAGCCTTCAAACTGGAGACTTAGGCCCCAGTCGACTTTTAAATACAAAGGCCTGCCCACCAACAGTAACATAAAACTCCTGCTCTTGAATACTACAAGCTGCTCCTCTAGAATTCGAGAAGAATAAAAAAAAAAAGGCATAATTATTTCAGAACAAAGTAGTGATTACAAGAAACCCAAAGAGAACCAACTGCTGAAATAATGAATAAGGAAAAAAAGCATGTGGGTCTTTTCTTGGCTGTAATATGATGGTAGCCATAACTGTCGGGGTATAGGATCTAAAGGTGGAGGTGAGCACAGAGAACGCTTTTTACATGTGTTCTTTAGCCCAGGGATACTAAAACATTTCTCAAATTTAGCACATAAATTGTTGGATCTCACATTTCTTTAAGAAATAGATTACTCCCCTCCACTTTGTAACTTTAAAGGTGACAATCTAGGAATGCCAATACTATGAAGTAGGAAAAGAAGTAACATGAGTTTATCTCCTACCGCTAAACCTACTCATAGCTGAGCTCCATTGGATTTCCAAGGCTGTAAATCGCCATGGAGATTGACCACCTTTCTCCCCTGGAGTGGCTGGTGGATTCCAAGTGTCAGAGAGTCATGGCCTTGGGGTCAAAGCAGTGTAACACCCTAAGGACTATGACACCAGACCTCCCTGGTTACAGGTAGGATGGTGGCAATTTCCACTTGAAAAAGTCCAAAAAAACCATTGTATATTTCCACCTCCTCCCAAGGGTTTATTCTTTTATCGTCTAGTTCTCCTTTCTCAGTAACGTCTCACCAACCTTTCCTCAACAGTTCAAAGTGGAGGTTGTCTACATCTCAGAAGACAAATTATTATATTTTGTCCCTCGCACATCTATCCTTGAGCCTGGGGTACTGCATGTTTTGAGCAAGAAGTCAGGTGTTTAACTCAACTTATCAGGAATTGTATTCTCTCCATACAAATTCCTTGCCAGATGATTATTTAAGATGTATTACAATGATACACTGAAAATTCTGATCCTCTGGAACAGTGTTTGGTTGACTTTTTAACAGCTGTGCTCTAAATTCAAGAGGGGAGTGTGTGTGGAATCACAGCTTCCGAAAGTATCCCTTTTAGCCCCTGAAGTTTAAATCCTTTAAAATTGAAAGGGAGGAACACTGTAAATTTGCTTATGAAGTCATATGAAAGTCAAAGGTTTGGCTCTTCCTAAAATGTGCCATTTTGGACCAATATCTCTGTTTCACTTGCTGACATGCAGGCAAGGCACACCAGTGGTGAGGAAGGAGGTGGCCCCCACTTTGCCCTGGGTGGTCTCAGGAAAACTGAGGTTGAAGGGTCACCCGGCCTTTATTCCTACAATTAAGTTGCAGTAACCTTAAGCCTCGAGAATATGCTGGGAGGGAGCTCTGGTGGCCTAGTGACTAAGGACCTGCTCTGCCATCCTCAAAACACAAATACTGGCTAAAACCATTACTGCAGAATGAGCAGGAGGATCCAAGGGACAGGAAAGGGGAAGCAGAGGGGTGGGATGTGCAGCGGGGAGGATTAATTACCGGGTCGCACAATTTGATGGGTGGAGGGGGTGAGGGCAATGGGAAGGATCTGGTGTGAAAAACAATGTATTAGAATTTTGTAAATAAATTAGTATAAAAATAAAAGGGATATATGAATGGGTATTCTTGTCATTACAGAAGTCCAGAGTAAAGGCTGCATAGTGGAGTGGACTTGGGCGGGGAGGGATTGCATACCAATGAGAGAGTTTTTCTTTTCCTTTTCAAGGAGAAGAGTGAATTGGGGGGAACAGGGGTGGGTAGGGAGAAAAGTGCAGCAATGAATGACTAGAAACCCTAACTCTCTGTAAACTTCTATTAAAATGAATTTTAAAAATGTAAAAGAGAATGTCTATTTATAATGTATGAAACAATGTAAATGAAAGACTGTATAAAACAATGAATATGACTGAAACATACTGTAAAGGTATTATATGAAAAGTAATAAAAAACCAAACATATGGCTCTAATCCACTAGCCCCAGTCTCTAAAAATGATGGAGGGTCAGGTATGTGTAAGTTCTGATTTGTGGTACATAACAACAGAATGATAGGACTCTGATGGCGCAGTGGTTACACCCTCAGCCAGCAATTTGAACCCTCCAGCCAATCCGCAAGGATCCCCTGGTAGCCTAGTCATAAACTCTGCTGCAATCCCAAAGACATGTGGTTTGAATTCACCAGCTGCTCTGCGGGAGTCAATTGGCCTATCTCCTCCCATGCGATTTATCGCCTCAGAAAACCTGCCAGAGGTTCTGACTCCACAGCAAACAGCTGCCAATCCACCGGAGAAAGACATGGCAATTCGCAACATTCACAGCTTTGGAAACCCCTCAGGCCATTCGTTCTACTCTGTCCTAGAGTGCGGCTCTGAGCTGGAACGGACTCATGGCAGAGGGTATGGTTTTATGATCTGGGTGATGGGGAAGGGGACGAATTTTGGGGACAAAACCTTGCTGCCTGGTGATTAGGCCTAAGTTCAGAAGCGTCTTCGGTTTTCCCTAAAGGAGACACTCCGTGCGGGGACAAGTTCAAGGTCCTGCGCCCAAGCCAGAGCGCACGGCTCAGCTCCCTGCGCGTCTGTGGCCACTCGGGGCCCGCCGCACCCAGGGACACGAGGCGGACCCGGGCAGCGCCAAGCCGCCATCCGCGCGAGCGCACGCTCGCCTCTGCTGCCCCCTACCGGCCGCGCCGCGCCCTCTCGGAGCCCCGGCAGCCGGGGTTGGGCTGGGGCGCGGTTACCTCTTGGGGATATCAAAGGCCTGGCACGCAGCAGGGCGCTGCGGCCCCGCATGCTTGGTTTTCCCATAGCGGATCAGGTCCTGGAAAAGCGGGCAGCCCGGGAGCAAGCTGGCAGGCACGAGCTGCAGCAGCAGGGTCAGCAGGAAGGCGGTGGCCAGCGTGAGCCACAGCGCACGCAGCGGGTTCAGAGCGGAGAGCGCAGCCCCGGGCCAGGCAGCCATGGCCGGGACGCCGTATTTCCCCGCCTCGCGCACACGATTCGGGACTGAGCTAGTCAGAGCGGGGCAGGGCGGGGCGGTCAGAGCGGGGCGGGGCGTCATTGACGCAACTCGGGGGCGGGGACGCGTCCAACCCCGCCCGAGCCTGGAACCCTGGGCCAGAGGCGCCGCCTGGCGATGCGCAATCATGGCTTTGGGACTCGCTGGCAGGACTTGTTCCGGATCACTCTCCTGGTCTGATCTGACCATGGAAGGAACCCAACACAGACAGAAACAAATAATAGCACATGCCTTCAAAGAGGCATTATCGTGAATGTAAATGTACCGCCTTGTTGTTGTTGTTGTTAAGCACCATCGAATTTTAGGCGACTCATAGCATCCCTTTGAACGAAAGTCCTGAACACTTGTGTAACTTTCATCCTTTCTCCAGGTTCATAGGAGGAAGGAAGCAAGCTATTTTGGAAGTGGCTGCCACTCCCGCTTCCAAGCTTGTATTAATTGGGAGTTCCACAATTTAAAAATTTAAAATTTTAATTAAATTTATTTTTTCCTAAACTTAAGAAAGGAACCTTGGTGGTACAAAAATTTAGAGTGGAGCTGCTGATCCAAAGATTGCCTTTTCTGAGGGAGAAAGCCTTGATTATCTGCTTCAGTAAAGATTGTTGTTATATGCTGTCAACCCGCCTGTGACTCATAGCGACCCTATGAAAAATAGCTCTGAATCCTATTATATCTTGCAGTGAGCCAATATCACTGTCTCTGACACATCTACTCTCATTATCCCAGTTACTGTGTCAATTTATCTCATCCATGGTCTTCCTCTCCTGCGTTGTCCCCCACTTTTCCAAGCATGATGTCCTTCTCGAGCGACTGGTTCCTTCTGGCAGCATGCCCAAAGTATGTGAGATGGAGTCTTAAAATCTTTGTCACCAAGGAGTAGCTTGATTTCACTCTCTCCAGAACAGACCTGTTTGTTCTCTTGGCAATCCATGATATGTTCAATATTCTTCGCTAGCCCCACAACTCAAAGGCATCAGTCCTTCTTCTGCCATCCTTGCTCATTGTCTAGCTCTCTGATGTATAGCAAGTAATTGTGAAGACCATGGTCTGGATCAGGCACATCTTAATCTTGAGACTGACATTGTTGCTCTTTAGCACTCTGGAGAATTTTTTGGTAGCAGATTTTCCTGATAAAATTAGTCTTTTTATTTCATGGCTGATGGTGCCAAGAGTGTTGACTGTACACCTGAGCAAGTTGAAGTTGTTAACAATATCAATCTCTTCTCCAACTATCATGGTGCTGCCAGTTGGCCAAGTGATGAGAAACTTAGTTTTCTTGATGTTGAGCTTCAATCCATATTACAGACTACAGTCCTTGATCTTCTGCAGCAAATGCTTCAGGTCCTGCTCAGTTTCAGCAAACAAGGTTGTATCATCTACATAAAGGAAATTGTTGAAGAATCTCCCTCCAATCTTGATGTCACATTCCTCCTCATAAAGTCTAGCCTCCGAAATGATCTGTTTCACATATAGGGCATCCCTGATGCACTCCTTCCCCGATTTTGAACCATGCAGTGTCCCTTGATCTTTCTAAAGACTGTCTCCTGGTTCATGCATAGGTTTTAAATGAGAACAATCAGGTGTTCTGGGATTCCCACGGTTATCATGGTTAGCCACAATTTGTTGTGAACCACACAGTCAAATGCCTTTGCATAAAGACTACAGGTAGAAAACTCTTTGCTATAGTCCTGTCTCATGGGTCACTAGAAATTGGAATGGACTCTAGCATTTAACAACAGGGAATTTAACTAAAACATGGTAGAAGGGAGTGGCCTAGTAGGTAGGGAGTTGCTCTGCCAACCCCCAAAATAAGTTCGAATCCACCAGCTGCTCCTTTGGGAGAATGATGGGCAATTTCCTCTCATGTGATCTATAACCCCTGAAAACCCAGTGGAAGGTCAGCAATAAATAGGTTTCCACTCTCACCACTGGGCCTATTGGCAACCTTATGATAGATGGTGAAGAGATTTAGATTGTTGACAGCTTCAGTTTGCTTGGATCTATAATCAATACTCTTTTTTAAAAAAAATTAATTTTAATGAAAGTTTACAGAGACTTAGGGTTTCCAATCATTCATTGCTGCACTTTTCTCCCTGCTCTCCCTATTCCCCTACTTCACTCTTCTCTTTGAAGAGTAAAAGAAAAACTCTTTCATCATTATGCAATCCCTCCCCCCAAGTTCACTCGACTGTGGAGTCTTCATTCTGGACTCTTGTCATGACAATAATACCCAATCATATATCCCTTTAAACAGTTTTCCCCCTCATATGTTTCAATGCATTATACATCTTTCCTCCCCTCCTTCTCTGTTTTCGTTCAACCCCTATGTCAGTCCTGTTTTACAACAGTGGCCCTATGCAATATCTGTCCTTTTGTGACTGAGATATTTCATTCAGCATAATGTCCTCCAGGGTCATCCATTTTGCATATTTCATGAGTTCCTTGTTTTTCAATGCTGCATAGTATTCCATTGTGTGAATATTTCAGAATTTCTCTATCTATTCGTTTGTTGATGGGCACTTGGGTTGTTTCCAGCTCTTTGCTATTGCAAACAAAGCCGCAATGAACATATCTGCTTGGGTGGCAGTTATGGTTTCTTTAGGGTAAATTTCCAGTAGTGGAATTGCTGTGTCAAATGGTAGTTCTATTTGTAACTTTTTGAGAAAGCACCATATGGCCTTCCATAGTGGCTGCACCATTTTACTCTCCCACCAACAGTGAATAAGGGTTCCAGCTTCTCCACAACCTCACCAGTATTTGTTGCTTGCTGTTCTGTTAAATTTTGCTATTCTTACTGGGGTGAGGTGATATCTCATAGTTGTTTTGATTTGCATCTCTCTTAGAGCTAGGGATTT